TACTGGATTGTGTGGTCTGATACTTACAGATTTCAGAGCATCTCCGTACTGGATTGTTCTGTACTTACAGCCTTCAGAGCATCCCCTTACTGGATTGTGTGGTCTGATACTTACAGCCTTCAGAGCATCCCCGTACTGGATTGTGTGGTCTGATACTTACCGCCTTCAGAGCATCCCCGTACTGGATTGTGTGGTCTGATACTTACAGATTTCAGAGCATCTCCGTACTGGATTGTTCTGATACTTACAGCCTTCAGAGCATCTCCGTACTGGATTGTNCGTCTCCTTACTTGATACTGTGGTCCGACATTTACACTTTTAAGGGCATCCCCGTACTGGATTGTTCTGATACTTACAGCCTTCAGAGCATCCCCGTACTGGATTGTTCTGATACTTACCGCCTTCAGAGCATCCTCGTACTGGATTGTGTGGTCTGATACTTACCGATTTCAGAGCATCTCCGTACTGGATTGAGCGGTCAGGCACAAAGAAGCCACTGTCACCGTTGTTTTTTGCCATTTCATTGAGGACACTGGCCGTCCTGACAGTGTCATTCCGGGCGTGGACAAACACCATTGTCTGTAAGGTAAGTACAACTATAAAACTAAAAGATGCTCTAAGAGTTAATGCATTTTCAAACAAGAGGCCCATGGGCCTAAATGGTCACCTGACTACAAAGACTGAGCAGGGAGAATGGTAACTTTTCAACTTTCAATGGAATATTCTATGAATTTGTTTTCCATGATGGTAGTTTTGGTCAGCAGTGGGTAACTATTTGTCAGTAAAGCTATCAGAAAGCATTTAAAGCTAAATCTGAATAGATTTCTCCTTTTAAGGCCCCGTCCTGCTGTCATCGGTGGTTAAACCTGCCTCATTTATATAAGAAATGATTGTTTCTAAATGTTATTTCAAACTGAAATTGTTGTAATCTACTTTTGGCATTAACGAGTAGTGTTTAAAAGCAGGATTTTAGGTAATTTCCTTTCTTTGGGGCGCTGCCCTCTCTATCCCTCAGGGGTCGAACCAGCCTCATTTATTCAAGAAACCCAGCCTCATTTATTCAAGAAACGATTGTCCTCGTCCCCCCCCTCCCCCACCTAATGATATTTCAGATCATATTTGGTTGCAATATCCATTTAGGCGTTAAAGAGGAATAGCATTTTAAAGCAAATTTATAGCTAAGTTCCACTTTCAAGGCCCCGAAACATCCCCACCAATTTTTAGCTTAGTACTTTCATGTTCATCAATTAAACCACACCTTTAATTAAAAAATTTAACTGTTTTTTTCTTTTCATATATGCAGACAACAACAATCTGACATGAGCCTTGTTTACCACTGATTGATAGAGAACATTTTGTTTGATAATTTTATCAGTAACAGTAACTTACCTGATAACCTTTCCTGACTTGTTCCAGGACTTTTTCGTAACAGACTGTATTCATATCCTGTAGTTGTTGCATCTTGTTGGTAGATTTGATTCCTGTACAAAAAAAACAGATATCACTCACAATAACTTTAGATTATCAAAGTGTTGTGGAGAACACACTTTTACAGCGCAGCTTCAACAGATATGCTCAATTTTTATAAAAATGATATGGTTTTATATTTTCCCATATTGATAATTGAATAAAAATATTAACAATTTATGGGCATGTCCAAATCCTTTAACATTACCTGGTCAGATCAATATAGCAACTAGTACAGTAAACAGTTGACCATCTGTATACTTGCCAACTTGTTTTAATTTCTATGGGGGAGTGTACAAGATCTGTTTGTGTATCCCATGTGTACAGGTTTTTTTCTTTAGCAAGTCACTTTTTCACTGGTTAATCAAGGTACAAGCATTCAACATCCATCAATAAAATAATGTATATTTCCTCACCAATGAAAGTCTGCCCAAGAGGTACGGGTCTGAAACGGCCATCAAAGAAGAAGAGTCCCAGGTACGGGTTAACATGAAGGAAGCGCGCCACATCTAGGTAGTTAGGGAGAGTGGCAGATAGACCAATGATACGAATCATGTTCTGTGTACTCTCCACCTGTATAAAAGGAGGTAAAGAGAGATTGCTACAGTGTTCTACATAAAATATCATTTATATTCAGAAGAATTTTCCCAAATTGAAAACTAATAAAAAAATTAATGACAATTCCATAGTTTTAAACTTAGTGTCTGGAATGACAAGTTCAACTCAATTGCTTTTAAAACACCAGTAATATCAAAATAAACACACAAAACAAAAAGTATAATTTTAACTTAAAGTTGTAAGTGTTGGTTAATTGAATAAAATCTAAGTGATATGTACTTATTTTATCAAAATACTGCCTATATCCTTGGGATATTTAACCTATTCTATTGTGATCACCTGTCTTAGTGTCCTGGCGACCAGACTCTCTATGACAGCCCCTCTGTCGTCATGGAGAAGGTGCACTTCGTCAATGATGAGGAGTTTGACAAGCTGAGCCAAGGCCACATCCCCGGTACTCTTCCTTGTCACCACATCCCACTTCTCCGGGGTCGTCACTAACATCTACAGGGACAAAAGGTCAAGGGCAAACAGATGATTACCAAAAATTAGTGTTTTTTTATCATTTATATTAATTAATATTTTAAACTCAGTTTTTCATTCCTTCATAGTTTTGAAAATTTTATTGATTCAATCTAAAATGTACCAAATCACATGCAGTTGTTAAAATACAACCTTAAAAGCAAAATTGCAGAAAATGCTGTCACCTATATATGGTGCTAACACACACTAGGTGACATTTTGACTGTACATAAGTATGTGCATTAGAATAAAAACATTTCACATATTTATTTCCATACAGTTGTTGACTTTTCAGCGTTTTGTTTTACCTAGTTTTAAAGCCAAATACAGACTGCTTCACTTGGCTAAAAAGCACTTTATTTATTCTTTATGAAGAATCTATCATTAGTGATAGTATGAGATGCATGGAGAGAGGCAACCTCAGAGAGTTTGGAAATTGTTTCCAGTACAAGGCTTGCCAGAGCAGCAGATCTAGAGGGAGATACAGATTTTTCCATCTCACATCTTAACAAAATACAAATAACTCAGTTCATATGTAATAACAAAAGCACATATTCATTCCACCAATTAATAAAACAGAGACATCTCATTCAGGGTAAAACAGGAAATTGGTCTGTCAAAGGTGTGAGAATGCTTAGCTTCTTATCCTACCTGGTTAACGGTTAACTGCCACTGTACCTGATATTTCAGTTATAATATATACTGTACCTGTGTTTTCAGTATCAACATATACTGTACCTGTGTTTTCAGTATCAACATATACTGTACCTGTGTTTTCAGCATCAACATATACTGTACCTGTGTTTTCAGCAACAACATATACTGTACCTGTGTTTTCAGTATCAACATATACTGTGCCTGTGTTTTCAGCATCAACATATACTGTACCTGTACCTGTGTTTTCAGTATCAACATATACTGTACCTGTGTTTTCAGTATCTCTGCCTTGGTCAGCTGCATGTCTCCTGTGAGTTCCCGAACAGCAATCCCCAATGACTCGAGACGATTCCCAAAGTTCCGAACCATCTCAGCAGCTAGTGCCTTCATAGGGGCTACATACACTATCTGTATCACAAAGATTCTTCATCATTTTTAGTCAGTAAAACTTGTCTTTTCCAAAAACTAAAGGAACCAAACTTTACCTTCAGAATAGACAAGTGTTTTATACAGAAATAGTATGACCTGTATTTGGTCACCTAGCTGAAGATCTGGTTTTACACCTGACAAGCATTATCATTAACCAGAATTTTAGAAGGCATGAAATTGTTAATACCAAAGTAATAAACACCAGCAAAATGTAACTTTCTGTAATTGCTATTCATGGCCACCACATGTACCCAGATATCAACCAGAGAAAGATTATGAGGCCTAGAAGAATGGTGGAAAGAATGTAGCTAGGCATACTGAATTTAAAATGTTGACAACTTTTCAATTTTCTTTGCTTTGAGTGCCTTTAAATGCTAACCTTGAATTCATCCTTCTTGATCACTCCCTGGGAGATATGCTGTTTGAGTTCATGGAGGACGGTCAACATGGCGATGTTTGTTTTACCCGCGCCTGTTGGGGCACAGATCAACAGGTTCTCGTTGGTCTTATAGGCTGCCTCAAACACCATAGACTGGATACGATTGAGGGTCACCGTACCCTTAAAGGCCATCTGTGCTATCTGTATTCAATAATTTATATTTTTAATGGGATGTCATTAGTCATTCCTGTGAAATCATAAATGTATGATTATCATTCAAAAAACCTTTATTTTTTTATTTAGTGAAACAACATGGAGGTAATCCTATTATCAGCATATTCATGCTCAAATTGTCAAACCTTTAGCTTTATCTTCTACAAGCATAGAATATATAAATTCATTGTTATCAAGAGCAATCAAAAGGCCACACAAATAGAACATACAATATCATATTCCAATTGTATAAAGCATAACAGCATTTTTTTTGAAATTTTCATAACAATGATTTTTTAAAATGAACTTGACACAACATGAAGTGCCTACCTCATCAAGATCGGCAACAGGAACTCTCGTGTTGCCTACAGTGAGAGATGTAGCCTCTGTGTGAGGAATGTGGACCTCCTCGTAAAGTTTGTGGGTCGACCGATGGAAGGAATCGGGAAGTGCCAACTAATATCAGACAATAAACAATGTCATTAGTGTCAATACATATATATTATTCTGTCATTACAGGTACGTTAATTTGTCAATTGAACTCATTTGAGATGAATACCCTTCTTACTTAAACAAAACAAAAATTCAGTAACAACCCTACAGAGTTCTTATCATATTCCTTACACAACTCAAACACCAACCAAATCAATAAAAAAAATCCTTAACAAGTCATGATCAAGTAAGAATATTTTACTGATTGTAAAGGATATGAATGCCACAAGGATGGTCTTCATACTAGAAGACTATCTGCACTAGCAAATCTTTATATTTTACCTTAGGAACAATCCTTAAAACCAACATGCAAGGTCAAAAGGCAATTGATGATTATAAGGATGAATACAAACCTTGACCCCTCCCACAAAGGCTGAGGACTGCCGAGCCTCCTCCATCGAGTCATGCACATTGGGGTATCTCTCCCTGGCCTGGGGTCGGAAGGATCGGTCAGAAAACAAAGGGGCCATCACTGCAGACTTAAGGGCTGCCTCCCTAATCATGGATATAAACCACAAATGTTTTAACTATACTGTAAAAGTGCTAGCCCCAATAAGACATCTAGAGTGTATGACTAGGTTTAATTTTGAGCCCTGAAAGATACCTTCAGGAAGTCGTCAATTTTCACTCGCCAAAGTGGCCTTCATGAACTACTTTTTCCAACATTTCCTTGTCCTCTTTATATATACTCAACGGTAATACATGCACATCTGTAATTATTATAGCATCAAATCAATTAATAAATTGATGAGATTATGATTTAATGGCAAATTGTTTGAAGAATATTAAGTGAAACAAGTTTTGTGTAGCACTGTTTTTGTATGCTGACCTCTGACTGCGTAGTTCCTGAGGATTAAAGCTGATACCCTCCCCTTCCTCCTCCTGCCAACCTCCCTTCTTGTCGAAGCGCTTCTCGTCTCTCCTCAGCTGTTTCATTAGTTTCCTCTCTTGCTCAGTCTATTAGTGTAAACAAGAATGGTCAATAAAACAAACATTAGTCATAGAATTTTTGTCATCAAAATGTTAGTAGCTATCTATGATAATATTAGTGTTGAAAGCCCCCCAGATTTCCTGTGAACAAAGGGAGGTAACACTTACCTGGACGATGACTTGACAGCCATAAGCAGGCTTGTTTCCTCCATCACCTTTTTTCCCTGGAAGTGAAAAATTATTAAGCTTGCATTTATTTTGTTTTATACCATAATGAAATCATATTTCTATTTCAAATTCTCTGTAAGTAATGAAAATCCTATTAAAAGTCATAAAATTCATAATCTCTGTTATTCCATCAATTACTTCATGAGTAAATAAGAGTATTTTTCCGAAACAAACTTTCTGACAATTTTCAAAGTAAATACATTCAAATGGCAAAAAACATACCACTTGGCATTAAATTTACGGGTAAGCTACATTTATCTTGAGTTTTCTGAATTTCACACTTTCTTTAAGAGAATAAACCGAATATTATCATAAAAACATACTTAAGCAATAAAACATGTATAAGAATGTGTAATGAAGGTGACCAGTTATTAATCAATTAATCCAGTGTAACATAAGCACAATTAGGGGGCCTGGTGATAAGGGGTCTCTTGTTTGACATATACGACCCTAAGAGGGTCTGGTGATAAGGGGACTCTTGTTTGACATATACGACCCTAAGAGGGTCTGGTGATAAGGGGACTCTTGTTTGACATATACGACCCTAAGAGGGTCTGGTGATAAGGGGTCTCTTGTTTGACATATACGACCCTAAGAGGGTCTGGTGATAAGGGGTCTCTTGTTTGACATATACGACCCTAAGAGGGTCTGGTGATAAGGGGTCTCTTGTTTGACATATACGACCCTAAGAGGGTCTGGTGATAAGGGGTCTCTTGTTTGACATATACGACCCTAAGAGGGTCTGGTGATAAGGGGTCTCTTGTTTGACATATACGACCCTAAGAGGGTCTGGTGATAAGGGGTCTCTTGTTTGACATATACGACCCTAAGAGGGTCTGGTGATAAGGGGTCTCTTGTTTGACATATACGACCCTAAGAGGGTCTGGTGATAAGGGGTCTCTTGTTTGATATATACGACCCTTAGAGGGTCTGGTAAAGGTGTGTCTCCAGTACGTTTAAAGGGTCAGATGAGGGATGACCTGGGGAGCAGGTATTACATGTAACTTACGTGCACCATTAGGTCTGGTTGAGGGGTCAGAGGTCAGAGAACTTTGTATGACCACTTTTCTGTTCTGCAGCAAATTTTCTATCAGCTCAAATCGATCAAATCCAAGAAGTTCAAATAACTATAAAACAGATAAAGAAGGATTACAAAGTCATTCAATTATGTTTGACAAAATGAAGAATCGAAGATCTGACTGGAAACACAAGTATTGAGTTCTCCACAAAACTTACATCATTCTGTAGTTCTTGGTCAGTCTTAGAGGATATGAGTACATCAAAAATAGTGGAGCTGATGTCCTCTGTTGTCATCCCCAAGGCCGAGTCACCAGTCGGGTAGTACTTCTTAACCTCTCGCTGCAGCCATCCAGCATCATATTGTGAACTGGTTTAAGATTGGTAAGTATTTTAAATCTGATGACAATTTTATAAAGCATACAAATGTATGAAAACACTTTTGTCAGAAAAGACAAAAGTAACAATATAGCCAGCAAAATACATGTATAATTGACATTTAAACTTATTGTGTTGGTTTGTATATTGTAATAGCTATATACCAATATACTGATCCTTTCACTTTGACTACTGTAATGTAACTTGGTTGGCAAATTTCCCTAACAATAACACCAGAACATAAATGACACCAAATGTATTGCCATATTATTATTGATGTTGCTTTTCACATACAAGATTTGCCAACCAATGTTACAATCACACAGACTAGGTGAAAAGATGCATTGATATAATTTCAGAGTAGTTGGTACTGATACTTATCAATGGTAATTTCATTGGACTGAATTTTACCTGTCAGTCTGTGATGCATTTCCTTTCAACTTTTGAGCTGGTCTATTGTCCGAGTATTTCAGATCTAAGTCCCGATGGTTAGCTTCGTCACTGTCAGACTCTGAACTGGACAAATATTCTGCTGATGCCATTAAACAAGAAAATTTTATATTCTGTCCAAATTCCTTCACTGAAGCCTCTCCTTCAGCCTCCTCCCTCATCTGGTTGTCCATTAATAATGCTGCATCCTCAGGCATCCAGGAGACTATTTTTCTGACAATGGCACAGGCTTTGGAAGCAGCTGAAGCTGGAAACGGTCCAAAAATGTTCCTCAGTTTGTTAGCCTCTTTGCTGCTCACTGTGTCCATAGTGGCTGTCTTAAACAGGCCAAACAGGAAGGCTGCAGCACCTTCAACTGTCTCCAAGGAAGCCTCCTGCCCAACTACACAAGCGACAAAGTGTTAATAGGGCAGATTCTTTTCATAGTGGAATGATTGTAGTTTAACAATAAAGCATTACAGTAAAAACATACATGCTGATATTTGCAATTTGTATAAACTCAAAACCATGGACAGTGTTTTTACAATAATATTATTTACTTTTGTTACTTGGGCTTCATCATCAATTCATTCTTTTGGGGAAATTTAGGATGTTTTATTTCATTTACATGCTTCATTAAAAAAATGTGATTGTTCGACATAACAGTATAGATATACATGATATATTTTCGGTTGAAAATTTGTTGTTTCAGGTTATTATGAAAAATATATTTATAGGATAATACTGTGCTGATTGATGTGTTTTAATATTTTGTTAAAAGAACTGTTAGGCCGTATCATAGCACTGAGTACATATGCCTATGAATGATTTGATGAGGATATTACCTATGTTCCTGGCACAATAAGATAAGTCCTTCAGTGCAGCCTTTATATCCGACCCTGAAGCATCCACCTCCTTCCTGATCTGAGTACAAAGTGTGTTCCATGACTGACTGTTACTCTGTTTTTCTGCCACTAGGTGTCTTTTCTGTTGAAGATCACTCTGCTGAATGCCAGTTGCATGCTCTGGGGATGCACTAAGGCCAGAAAAGGCCCTGATGGCCCCCGTCAGACGAGGAAGATTACTCATCACTCGTTATCAGTTCACCATGTATAAACTGGGCTGCCATACAAAAAAGAAATACATGTTCATGAAATGTAGTAAAATTATGCATTTTTACAATGATATAGCAGTATCATATTTGCCTTACATGCGTCCATGCCCTCTCAACATTTTGTATTCAACTACATACACATTATATCAGATGACACAGTCTTGCAATCTGACTATTTTCCAAGGTTTTAGAAAAAACGAAAAAAGAGAGCAAATTGTAATATTTGATCCTACTCGATAACAATTTTGATTTTGCAATCTGATATGAAAATGTTAAAAATGAGTTTCGAGTGTGACTCCTGCATCGTATTAAGTCAGAGAAATAACCCTAAAGTCAGATACATCTGTGCATTACCTCAAGATACAAGTGAATGGAGGGAGAGAATGTTTCCAACCTGTTACAGTAATGATTAGAGAAAGGGATGGGATAGCCTGCACGATTTCTTTCACATCATTTCACTGAATTATGCGTTGTTATAGTGCCCTTTCCAATAAAAACATGTATGCAAATAACTGGTGAGTGTGTGAGGAGATGGGGGAGATGCACAACTGTACATTGACCTGATACAAACACACGTGGAAACCTTGTGTTTGCATGTTTGGATCTCCTAAAACTCAACTGTTAGATTTTACACACATGAAAACCGCGGGAAACTGGTGTCAGCTACTGCTGGCAAAAGTATGACTATTCTAATGCAATTTAGATATAAAGAAAAGACTCTAATTGATATCCACATCTTTTTAGACCTACTTTCGATTGGCCGTATGAGAATTTCGATTCGCTTTCACAATCGTCAGTCACCGGAAGTATCTACCGGAAGCATGTGTTAGCTGTCAGACTGAAAAATCTGTATCATCCATGTTCTTAAATTTTGTTGACATCTGTTTATACATCAAGTCTCCGTGGCGCAATTGGTTAGCGCGTTCGGCTGTTAACCGAAAGGTTGGTGGTTCAAGCCCACCCGGGGACGGTACATTTTTTGATATATTTTATTTCATCAGTGGTATCAAAAGATAATTCATCATAATAAATATAAAATGTCAACCGTTCAGAAATTATTTCCATTAAGACAATAAGAAAACAATGTGATGCGTGTTACACTGTACTCGTGTAGTATAATCTTTACCAATATGCTAATGATCAGGAACTTGTCTATAGAGTTCTCTCCATATAGTGGTCGGTAGAAGAAATAACGAAATATAGCTGCTGGGTCATATGAACACCATTTTATATACATTGTCAACGCAGTAAGGTTATAAATTAGACGAAATGAACAAACAATTTATCTAAATCGTACATTTGAACTAATAAATGCAACTTTTTAAAGGTATGCTTTGAAAAAAAATCGGCTAAAGCATCATTTGCAAAATAATTGTATCAGAGCTTATCACAATGTATGGTGGTAATCAGCCAAGTTCACTTCAGCGTGTCTTGCAAACGGTTCCCGGTCAAGAGGCGCGGTGAACCATGTTGAGGACTGGAGTCTGAACTGTTTCGGTACCTTTCTTTAGACGCTTTTCGGGCCATTTTGTCGGAAAATACCAGAAGTGCTTCAAATTCTAACTGAACGTTTTTCTTTTTTCCTTAATCTTGCGCTGATATTCCTATCCAGAATTTCTTTGTTTTCCTGATGTTAACGAGCAGTTTTATCATTCTTCAACTCGAACATAACACGAACTCTAATTAATATAAGAAATTGGTTAAAAGAAGCGTTGTCCAGCTTCCACATTCTACTGTTTTTAAGTAGTTATTTTTGGTCTCTCCTTTTTTCATAAACCGAAATTGATCTTCTGCACCAGGGTTCCACTACACATCCCTGGCTGCACGTCTTGCAACGCGCACGGTCGGACATAAATATCTTTTGGTGGAGTTTCTCCAGGCACCCATATCGTCATGGCCTTATATAGTTGCTGCTGTTGTCGAGAGAATGTTAGTTCTCATTAAATAGAAGTGTTATGTGTACAAATAGTTTCCATACACACACATGTAGACGTAGCTCTCCTTCCGAAGCTTTACACAATTTGAAAACGTCTGCCTAGAGAGTAGTACATATCACAGGTACCTGGGAATGTGTTACACCTATATTTGGACTTATACCACGAAATTAGATTATACACGGAATTAGATCTAAGACCGTGCTTAAACTAAGGCCTCAAGAGTAATTTTACACGTTTGGAGGATTTAGATCGACTGTCGGTAAAAATGTCATCCCCAATGATAATATATAGAAGTGTGGAAAGCTCTCGATGTCGAGAAATCGACCCCACCCAACTTTCTTGCATCAAAAATCACATTTCTATTTGTTGTACGAAAAAATGCTTGGTACCGTTGGAAAGATAGATATTTTTTCTTTCTCGGACTTCCTATATGCACGCCAAACGTATTCTCCTTCCGTGGACATGATTTCCGTTTCCTCCAAAAACACACGCCATTTCAGAGTTTCAAAGTTTTTCGCAGTCAGACTGACACTTTTTTAAACATTAATGAGGTTGACGTCAACGCGTACTGAAACATGCAGTGTTGGTTGGTTTAGCCAGAGACGTATACTCTCTGGTTTAGCGAAAAAATGGCTGCACTTCCAACCAATCACACCACAGTTGGGGGTGGCATTTTTACCAAATGTGTAAAATTACTCTAAACACCTAAGTATAGGTCCAAATATAGCTGTAACAAATTCTCAGGTCCCTGTGCTACATATCCTTCGAACAACTGCCCTTTATTCTAGTGTACAACTCCGTCCGTTGCACCGTTCACCAATTCAACACAGCATGCAGACAAAGAATAATGGAAGTTTCTGATGACGGTAGAAGTCAAACCGCTCTGTTGACTTGACCCGTTACAAATGTTAAAACCAGATGGACAATGCAGTACTTCAGATGCCTGATAAAAAAAAGATGTACAGAAACTACACGTACAGCAAACTCAGAAACTGTCTTCCTATGTCGAATCACATCTCCCTTAATACCTAACCATCACAGCTTCACTCGTCATCCATTGTTGCACCGTCTTATTTTTTAATTACATACCGAAAATGTCTAAAAGTACAAGTTTTTCATCTAGCCCAGTCTCCGCGTGCCCCACACCCGATTTCCGCATGGTTCCACAGCTAGGCGTCTTCTGTCCTTCTTTTTCCATTGATTTTTAAAGAGGATCATTTGCATATCGGTTATGAACCAAACAAAGATCTGGCAGAAACCTGACCATCAGTAGAGACATACATACATGCCAGAATACATTGAGACCAATCTCAATTTTCACGGCAAAAAGTCTATCTTACTCAACTTAATTAATGAAATAAAGCACAAAATCTTTAAGTAAGGAACTTTGTTTTGGCTTTGGCAGGTTTGTTTTTGTATGTATTGAATATGATTATATATATTTAATAGCACAAAGTTTACAAAACAAAATATCACATAGTTGAGATATACTGAAGAAGCAGATTTAACTTTAAATTTCGTTAGACAGACCACTATTCATAGCAGCCACTGACAACTGATGTACAATTTAAACTTTGAACTATGTATTAAGATGGGTTTGTAAAAATAAGGATAATGGTTGTCTATGTTCATTTACATTTGAACTTCTTAATAATGTAACAGAATCTTGAAACATGCATTTAACAAGAGGACAGAAAAAAATCAGCTGTGAAAGTGAAGAAAACTGTGTTCAGCATTTGAACTTTTAAATTACATATTTCAGCATTCAGAACAAAGACTTTTTCCATCTTCTTCATGACATGCCCCTTATATATTTACCGGTCGATCTCTTTACTTTCGTAGTGAAATTATATTTGTAAAGAAACACTTAGCCGGACAAAGTATTAATCAAAGTTTCTAGCAATGAACTAACCTTATAAACATGACAGGAAACATGTTTTGTGCTAATTCTACTGACAGTGTGAGGTATCAACTTCACGGGTAATTTTGATGCTGAAGCCAACACCGTCGCGTAGTGGTTGAATGTCAGGCATTCTGTAGTATCACGGAAATTTCTGCCATCAGTAATTGTCACATATACTCATGGACAGTAGTTGAGTTGGGCTACACTACTTTCTCAGTCGCCTCTGGTAGTTCTTATACAATACCTACCGGCCCTATTCGGTATACCTAGATGTATTTTGACCTCTACGAAATGTTCCTTTGGAGAGTTTCTCTCACATGGTACAGCCTCAGTCAAATGCTACACAGGGTATGTGGATGAGACAACAGGGTTGCTATTGTGTTCTGGTTGTTTAATCCCTTTATTATAATGGATTAAGTGTTGTCTGGAATATGTATGATGATTTTGTGCAGTGGTATGGCACTGTAAATTAGCCAATTGTAATACAGACCTATAACAAACCAATACACTAAATACACACTAAGCTGAAGCTCAGCTTGTTTCATATTTAAACATATACTGCAAGTCCCTTAATAAATCCTGCCAGAGGAAATTGCATTAATAAGACTATGAACGCAAATGGATCAGTTACCAGTTACGATTTTGAAACTCTTCCTCCTGCCCACATAACGGAGACCAGAGACCAAAATCATAAATCGCAAACATTGATCAGATGATGTTGGGCTGTTCCAGGAATGTTGTTTACCCTAGTGAAGTAGTAGATATTGCAGATATTATTGAATACATATAAGGATCACTAATCCAATATTTCTAGTTATACTTGGAATGGCAGTTTAATTTACAGAGTTTGTGCCCTATTAAACTTGAACTGGTGGTGATTAATAGAGGAGTGTTTTAAGTTACATGTACATGTAATTGGCAGTTTATTTTATAGAGACTTTATGTCTACAATGTTTGTACAGGGAACGTAATAAAAATAAATATAAACAAGTCATCTAGAGTAACTGCTGATATTTATTTTATAGAAGACATATTGTTTTGGTTTTGTTTCTTAAACAAATATATGCAGTTTAGATTAACAAAAGAAATCTGTATTGAACAATTCAACATGAACACCCAGCAGACTTCATCAATCATGCAATACGGATGAAACAACATGTGTTTAAACTGACATGACTGTTCAATAACTTCCATAAATCACCAGATGTATTAGGGCTGAAACAATATTAATACATTTTTATGTCAAATCATATTGGGATAATTCCTTGTGTATCATATACAATTGTTTTATTTGCTTGTATCATGATACACTATCAAGACTGAAATTGTTGACCAATCTCTTATTAAATACTGAAAAAGTGTAACAGTTTTTGAATCTTCCAGTAGAATGTGGCCCACTCTGCAGTCATATACCCAAAAGTACTAAAAATCATATTAAAATGTATTTAGTTAGTACATGTATTTACTATTTAAAACTATGACAGAACAATATAAATATTCCTTATGACTTTTTAAGCAGATATGTGTATCATGATACATATAGTAGTGTAAGCATCCTACATTCATATGAATCGTGAGGTATACATACCGGTATGTATTAAGTATGCAATATGTTAATAAAGTTGACTATTTGTATATGTTGTAACTTATAAACTTATAAAATAGCAATATAAACCAACAACTTTGTTTTTGAAGATTCATACATTTTAATTATAACAGTGGAAAAAGGATTGCACCCACATTTTACAGTTTGAATTAGGAACTGAACATAAACTTAGTAGATTCAATTTTCAACTCAACAAAATAAAACGTTCTGTCAAATTGTTGACAGTACAAATTAATATCAGAGTTTTTTGTACATTTTTAATTAGTTTACACAATTTATATGTCCACATAAACATGCATTAATGAATCACATTTTAACTTAAAGCATTTCTTCATTACCATTTTACCTATAGTAAATAGACGCAATGTACCTAAACATATACTACATATATTGTACTATATCACTAACAGTATGGCCTTCTTGCATTAATCATCAAAACATAAATAAATTATACAAGTATTCAAATGATGGTAAGGAGCAGTCAAGATCTGTCTATAGAAACTACTAGTAATGGACAAAAGTGTATAATAATCTAACGGTTACCTTCTCCTGGTTGACAGACACACAGACCACTGAGTGTAAAACATTAATATACATGTACAGTAACAAGGTTATGCCTTGCATTTCAACAACCATACAGCTAATCACCAGATCTTTAACTTTTATTACTTTATTTCCTATTCCAACAAGTTTTGTAATTAAGATAATAAAGTTTATTTTTGATCAGAAAAAAATAAGCTCTTCCCTATCTATGAACCTCCACATCAATATTTACACAAAAGGAGGTACCACATTTACAGATATAGAACCTGTTTCATTGTTTTATAAAATCATTGTCAGTCAAAATCAGCTATTTCATTTTTCCCTTTAACAAATAAATTATATATAAACCTTACAATGCCAGCTGAATAAAGTATGTAATGCTAATGACTTTTCACCAAAGTTGATAAAAGTTTTTCAATCTAAGTCTTGATATTTGTCTTTTTAGATTAACATGCAAAATGTAGGGCTATTTTAAACTGATGTTTATACATAGTACACTTATCACAATCACACATAAATTAATTAATTTTTGTCATCTTATAACTTACTTTTGTAGTATAAAGTCACAAGACTAGGAAAATTGTACACAATACAATGCTTGTATACTATGTAAGTAAACATTTCAAAGTCCTTAACTGTTATCATTGTGTTATGTAAAAGTAATAAAAAAACGTTCACTTCTTCTTTTTCAACTGTTCAAATCTTCTCGTCAAATCATCAAAATCAACATCGTCTCCTCCGGCAGAACTTGTCCCCACGGAGTGTCCCGGATCTGGTAGTGAGTTGGTTGGAACTGTCGGCAGCTCAGGAAATCCATCTTTGAATCCGGGAGGAGGGGGCTGTTGATGGGGAGGCTGGGTGGGGCCAGAGTTCTGAAGCCGTTTCTTAGGATCCTCTCCTAACCAGTTATCATAGTCAGAGCTCTGTGGGGGTGGGTAGGCAGGGGTATCTACACCAGCTGATGGGGGTGCCTGGGGTAAGGGTGGGGGCTGCTTTCCCTGAAAAAACACAGAAATATATACAGTTTGGAAATAAATAAAAATTCTAATCAAAATGTATAGACATAGAATAATAAATCATTGCAGCAATTGTTGCTTTCATAGAACTTCAACAAATATTATGTCTCAAATAAATATTTTAAAATTTATATAAATAATCTATTTGACACATTAGAATATTTGTGAGGACAAACTTAAGCAAATGGGATTAAAGAATCTAAGCACCAGTTAAACATAACACCAAAAGTTGTCTATCAGACAGAAACGCCATTATAAGTTGACAATTAAAGCTGACTCTACACCAAGTTGTCAAACCCAACATGACACTGCAAGTTGATCATGAAAGCCTGACATGACAGCTGGGCTCTAAAAAAAAAACTTGTCTGACATGTAAATGCACTTGTCTGAGTTTTCAATAACATTAAAGCTGTTGATAGATGTAAATACCAGCTGACTGGAGTTCAACACCATCTGTAGGCGTTATTGTGGTCAACTCTACCAGATTGATCTACTTTAAATACCAATTCCTTAAATGCTATTATTTTAAAGCTATAACTGGATTTTTCGTTATATATGAATGTCAAAGAAAAATGTGGCAAGTTCTTTGTTAAACTACCTTTTGTTATACTTTTCTCAAATAAGAATCCTGGAAATTACAACTGGTAATTATTTCTGTACAATACAAATATAGGATATAGACCTCTTTAGGTTTTACTTTTGTTTGTCATTGGCTCCTGCACTAAATCTGAATTTTATCGACCAATTTTTTTTAACAACAAGCTGTGTGTCACCTAAAATGCGTCCTTACATATATAGCGTACGCCAAAATTCACTTGTCCTCTAGCAGAGATGATGGGCAAGAAACACTTGTTCGATAAGAATTTGAAGCTGTATAAACAATCGGACAAGTGTAATTCTAGATATTGAGCCCTGCATGACCAGATCACAAGTTGACAAGAAATGACATCCAAAATAACAAACATGACATTAAACTGCAGGTTGACAAACTCACAACATGTAAACCGCAAGTACATATGTATAAGCATTGTTCTCACCTGTTGGGGAGGGTACATCATTGCCTGATTTGGGGGAGGATACTGTTGCTGTGGGGGAGGATACTGTTGCTGTGGGGGAGGATATTGTTGTTGTTGGGGAGGGGGGTAGGATGCTGATTGTGGCTCCAATACGCCCATCCCTCCACTTCCACCACCACCTCCTCCACCACCCTTCTTCTCTCCCAAGTCAATCAGAAAATTCTCGGCACTGAACATCTCGTCCTGTGCCATTATTGACGGGTCAGGCTCAAATGGCACATTGTAGGTCCGGGCAATCTCAATCATGTAACGTTCTACAAGAATCTTGGGCGGGGCCTCTACACCTAATTTATGCATGACCTTTTCACTAACATTATTAAGTTCATTTGTTCGGCAGGCTTGAGCAAACTCTTTTCCATATTTTGCTGTGAATTGGTCGGACACATTTTTCAGTTCTAGTATATCAGCCTGAAGTCGAGGCGCGGCCCAGATTATGCTGGCAATGGACTCCTCAAGCCCCGAGTCCAATTCTCTGTAAAAGAAGACAAAGTACCCATTTTAATCTGTAACTTTAATCTATCTTAATAGAATTTAAAATGTAAACGTACCTGACCTGTATTTCATAGTATACGTATAACCTTCATATATTTTCAGATTCTGACAATGAAGATGTCATTTTAAATATATTATGTCAGAAAATCTCATTGTCGTGTAACATGTCTCAAAAATCCAGCTCCAGACTCTTGGAGGGTAATATAGATGTCAGGTCATTTCGCCAAAAATCCCATTCACCTCAGTTGTTTTGCACTAGCTAGGTTGTATGATAACATTTTTAGGGCGAACCTTTTTTAGGTCTGTCAAGTAGCGTATGATTAATACAATCTTATTTGAAGCTTTCCCAAGTATCATTTGACTCTATATATTTGTATATGGTTGACCAGATCTGTACAGAGCATACACCTGCACGAGATTTCTCCAACAACACATTTGTTCGTGAAACATGAAAACTGTAACAGTAAGTTTTTTAATAATTAAAAACATTTAAACAGATATATTTTAACTTGAAAATATATATTTTTATCAGGGCGAACAACCTTGGTTGAACTGGATTTAGAGCTAAAAGACCCATATATACTGTATAGTGTGAACAGGGTTAAAGGCAAAGTGACCGAATCCGGTAATTTACTTTACATTCGGAATCAGATTCATCAGTACATTAAGTTTTCAATTCCTGTTTGTGTTCAAAACAAACTTAGCCTTTACTTGTACATACTGCGAGTATAAATTTGGAACAGTTTTGTCATCCGAATTTCTTACCCTCTAAGCATCCGCAGCTGGACATTATTTGTACAAAGTGTAAGTGTACCATAGACTATATATATGTGTCCATATCCATACCTAAAAGTATGTTGGTTACATCATATAACTTACAGTTATAATAAACAGCAACATCAATATACGGCAGAAATATGCATAACATGCACATGTCTCATATACAGAGCCAACTTTGCAGATAATACATATGTTTACGTTCTTATGCGTATGGACCTGAAAATGAAAGCAAAGACGACGACATTTTGTTTCACTTTTACACATGCATACTTTTGAGTCTGTATCAGTCCAAATCTGGCTAGTAGAAGGTCACAATACATCTCGAGTAGTTCCATTGCCTCGACAAGATAATCTTCGCGGATAATATGTTCCACTCTGATCCTGGCCCGATCATCTTTTGCAGCTGAAATGTAATCTGCGATTTCTTTCCTGGCCTTTGCAGCGAGTTCGGTTTTTTTCTTTTCCAATAATTTCAAGCGATTGACGGTCAGTCGCAGATTGGTTTTAAGCTTGCTGTAATTTGCGCCGCTACTAAACATGGTTGGTGTTACAGTGGGATGTGACTCTGATGTGAAATGTTCTTTTAAATCAGCAGCGAGTCATCAACCGATCGAGTCACACGACCATGAGCGATGTCTATTTGTTTGGGTGTTGACGTCATACACTTCCTGCTGTATTGAGAAAAAGATTTAGTTGGCTGCTGATTGGTTAAAAATGTATTTCTTTTTTCGTTTCCTGCGAAATTTAAATATCTTATACTATATCGTTGACTCTAAAATATTTCAACTATGCATATTTTCTGCCGATATTGATCGTATATCCCCAAATATTCGCCAACATACTGAAAGTGTCCATTTCAGAGTACAGTGACGTTATATCAAGGTTATGTTTAGGTACTGTACATAGAGAATATCATACATGACGTAATGCATTAGTGCAGGCAAATTCGCCATGCACCCAAATTCGCCACCCTGTGACAAAAATGCCATATGACGTCATAATACATAAGATGTGACGTAAATAACGTCACCATAGTCTTCAACACAGTTAAAGCCTTCAAAGTTGACAAGAACAGGTATAAGAAGGGAAAAGCTATACTTTTAATCAAAACAGTTATGAAATATCTTGTAACACAGAGAGTCAGACGTATAATACAACGAATCTGAAAAATTTGGTCTGTGCGAAAAACATCTCGTCAACTAATCCAGGGACCTATATACTGTCCCTGACTAAACTCATTAATCTGAGGCCAGTTGGTTGTTATTTAGTGTAAATTTATTTCATACACATGAAAATACCCATATCTTAACGCTAATTGCAGTTAATGCAAGTAATTTGTTTTCTACAAGTGTACTTTGGTACATGTACAATGTACTGACGATCTACTGCGTATTTATGGAACCAGAGACGTATAATATTAATACGTCTCTGATGGAACTGACGATCGGAAAGATCAGCGATTTGATAATTCGTCAGTTTCCAATTTTCATGCAAAGTGTATTTAGAATACAATCAACCAGTATCTTTTTAAAAGTATTGTTTGAATCTTACGTTCAACAATCTTACAACACTTAAATTAAAATACCATCTAGAAATGTTCTAGATTTATATCTGAAAGGAATTTGTTGTCGGCCTGAAAGTACTGCTGTACAATCGCATGCTGATTGTACGTAGAGACCGACAGTTACCAAAGACTGATTTTTACATGAAAAAGTAAGTACATTCATTTACAACACCTGGCCGGGCAGTCTTTGTTGAATAAGTTTAGACTATCGGAGACGTACATGTGACAAATTATCCAAAATTTTCGTGGGGGGG